CGCCTGACGGCTCTCTTGTTCTCGCTGATGTCCTTCTTGTGCTTTCGCTTAAACTCAGCAATGAAATGGTTGACCATTCTGTTATCAAAGTCTTCTCCACCCAAGTGGGTGTCTCCAGCTGTTGATTTGACTTCAAAATTCCATCCTCAATAGTGAGGATAGACACATCAAAAGTACCACCTCCCAAGTCAAAAATGAGCACATTCCTTTCAGCTCCAACCTTCTTATCTAGCCCATAAGCAATAGCAGCAGCAGTTGGTTCATTGATAATTCGCAGGACATTGAGGCCAACAATAGTTCCAGCATCTTTTGTAGCCTGTCGCTGAGAATCATTGAAGTAGGCCGGCACTGTGACCACAGCATTGGTAACAGTCTTCCCGAGATAGGCTTCTGCAATTTCCTTCATCTTGGTCAGAACCATAGAGGACACCTCCTCTGGGTAGAAACTTTTTGCCTCTCCTTTGTATTCTACTTGGACCTTGGGCCTGCCTGCATCGTTCACCACCATGAAGGGCCAGTGCTTCATATCAGACTGAACAACAGCATCATCAAACCTACGTCCGATCAGACGTTTGGCATCAAAAACTGTGTTGGTGGGGTTCATTGCAACCTGATTCTTCGCGGCATCCCCAATTAATCGTTCTGTGTCAGTAAAAGCAACATAGCTTGGCGTGGTTCGGTTACCCTGGTCATTGGCAATTATCTCCACCTTTCCATGCTGGAAGACACCCACACAGGAGTAGGTGGTGCCAAGATCAATACCAACTGCAGGTCCCTTAGACATGGTTGCTTGCCTGTAGGCCAGGCTGTGCTTGCGACGAGACCACACAAAACCTCACAAGCTGCCTCCGCATTCAATCAGCACTATCCATTTCTGCAGAGTGGACAAACACACACATACCATCTACACTGGAAGTGATCACTAATTCCCCTTCTTACAAAATGGGAACCAGGCATTCCATCTCTAGTAGAAGCATATAAACCCAGAAATCACCATAGAAAGAAGCTGAAGTAGATCAAATCAAGATCACAGTGGCACTGCACAGCATTCGTAAGACCCACAAACTCCTTTCGATGCCTTAAGAATGAATGAGGCCTAAACACTAGAATAACTGATGGTACATTTGTATTACATGGGAACTGACATTCCTACACCCACAGAAGAGGCACATATTAGTTCATAGTCTATATGACAGGCTATATTATCATCCATGTGACTTACTTATGGCTCCCCTATAGAGTCCTCAGTGAACCAATTTTGTTCACACAGAATAGATGACACATTAACACTCTTAGAAATGTGGCCCAATGCTGTCATCCTCTTTGAGAAGCAAACATAATTTAGGAACTACAGCTTAAGTGAAACTCAATGGATCATCACCAGTTTACCATGGCTTATACCAGAAAATCATTGACCTACGAAAGCCTTCTGCTTCCTTAAAAGCTTAGGAAACACTAACATTTAACTCATCTGATGGATGGGCCTTTTACATTTCTCTTGGGCTTTCTTTTTTCTGAGGTCTTTCTTTCATCTACATGACAGACACAGATTAACTCATTGGAGAGGTCCTAGCACATATGACAAGTAAGAGGGGCATTCATGATGATGCCTCTCCTTGGAGGGTAATGTGCAAACTTTTTGCTCTCCCCGGAGTTCATTTGACACTTTAATTCATTCAAATTTGTGTATTGTTGTCCATACCTACAGACCAGAATTTCACACATGTGTTATCCCAGGTAGAGTAGCTGACCCATTCTCCCTCCTACAATATTGGCCCCATGTGTTCTTCTATTAGAAGAAGCATATGAAAACAGAAAATCCCGACAGAATGAAGCCTCCTCATATTGATTAAAATGGATTAGACTAGAAAATCTATGGCCCGAAAATTCAGAGCTAAGTCCTAATACCTGATGAAGTAACCACAACCAACATATTTTATGAAAGGGGCTTAAACTTTATTCTAGGCACCTCTGGGCCACCAGACATTCCACCGTCCTCACATCAAGCACAGATAACTTTCATGTGCATTAGGGTCCCAGGCCACG